TTGCAATATTGTTAATTTTTTAATTTTTTTCTAAATTTTTTTAAAATTTTTTTATTTTGTTATACAAAATCCTGTAACATGATTAGTAAATTGTGGGGTGGTTAAATCACCAGAGAGGCAAGTTAGCAACATTCCAATATCTATATAACAAATAATTAAATACAGTATTAATCTAAATATAATAACTTTAATAACACTCTTAACAACATAGTTTAGATTTTTTATTTTGAATAAATCTAACTATAACCAGTGGTGATCATTACCAGAGTACCTATATCTCAAAAACGTACTAAATAAACAGGATCAGGTTCTCTAAGTAAAAATGTTCAGAACCTTCAAAAACTTTATAAAAACTAAAATCAGGCCCTAATGGGCCCTTATAGTAGATCTATATTATTTTAGATTTTTCTAAATATTTTTGGCCAGAAATATATTGCTTATATATCTCTGGCCTTCACAGCCAATCAGGGCTCAATAAAATCAGGTGACAAACAGTCAACCATTGAATCTGATTATTGACACAAGCCCGGGAGCTGCCTCCACTTAATTTGATCTAAATAATCTAGATCTATTTTTCTATTTATTTATTTTTTTTGTTGCTTTATTTTTTGAACTAATATTAACTTTAACTATGTGGTATATTTGCTTTTTTTTTTGTTTGTTTTTCTTTTTTTGAACTAACACTTTTTTTTTTGAGATTAGTGGAGCCAGGTTCGTTATTTATGATTTTGGCTTTCGTCGTTTTTGGTATCATCGTTTGTGGTGATTTCAGACTTCGTCGTTTAGGAGTATAGATTTTGGGCTTTAGACTTCATCGCTTCGGTGCCATGTTGGTAATTTCAAGCTTTTGCCATTGCAATGACATCGTTTATGGAGATTTCAGGATTTTGTGTTGGGGATTTTGTTGATAATCTAGATTCTTTGGCTTCTTTTTAAGTCTTGTCGATTTGCTTGAATAGGTGGGTGGGCATTTTTTTTTTTTTTTTTAAACTAATTATTTTAACTTCGTTATTTTGTTGCCATTGTCAATTTCAGGCTTTTTCGTTTCGATGATATTGTTGGTGCTTGTGATTTTGTCGTTGCGGCATTCTTCTTGGTAAGTCTTGTCAGTTTTGCTTGAATGGGTGGGTGTTTTTTTTTTCTTGAACTAATTATTCCGGCTTCATCATTTTGTTGCCGTCGTTGATTTCAGGCTTTTCCAGTTTGACAATATCGTTGGTACTTGTGATTTTGTCATTGCAGCATTCTTCTTTTTCTTAAACTAATTATTCCGTCTTCGTTGTTTTGTTGCCATCGTTGATTTTAGGCTTTTCTGTTTCGATGATGTCATTGGTGTTTGCCTTGGTAAGTCTTGTCAGTTCGCTTGAATGGGTGGGCGTTTTTTTTTTTTTTTTTTTTTTTTTGAACTAATAATTTCGACTTCATCGTTTTGATGCCGTCATTGATTTCAGGCTTTTCCATTTTGATGATGTCGTTGGTATTTGCCTTGGTAAGTCTTGTCGGTTTGCTTGAATAGGGTGGGCATTTTTTTTTTCTTGAACTAATTATTTTGACTTCGTCGTTTTGTTGCCGTAGTTGATTTCAGGCTTTTCCATTTCGATGATATCATTGGTGTTTGCCTTGGTAAGTCTTGTCAGTTCGCTTAAATAGGGTGGGTATTTTTTTTTCTTCTTGAACTAATTATTTTGACTTTGTCAGTTTGTTGCTGTCGTTAATTTCAGGCTTTTCCATTTTGATAATGCTGTTGGTATTTGTGATTTTTGTTGTTGCGACATTCTCCTTAGTAAGTCTTGTGTTTTTGCTTTTTGCCACCTTAGTATTTTCGTTGTTGGTAAAAGTTTGTGGTAGTTTTGACGTGCAAGTCAATTTTCAAATTTGGGTATAGATTGTGTTTGTATTGAAAAAAAATACTTTAAGTGGTATTTTACTGAGTGTGAAATTGGTATTGGGTATACGGATCTATGATGCAATAATATTGTAATATAATGTAATTGACTACATTTAATAAATTAAATATATTAATAAAGCTGTATATATTATTGTATAATTATTTTTTTGTGTTTTGATTGGCTTTGCGGGATATCTTCGCGGCATAGTTTTTGTTTTTAGACGTTTTAATTTTCTTTAGCTTTGAGCGAAGATATCTTTATAACTGTCTAAGTTCAATAAAAAATTTTTTTTATTTGAATTCTATAGATTCATAGAATTCAAAGAAAAAAATTTTTGTCGAATTTGGTCAGGTGGTTGTGGAAATATCTTTGCTCAAATTTTTTAAAAAAGTTGGCGCAGCTTCGATTTTAATAGAGGTTTTTATTTTTCTCTAACTTTGAGCAAAGATATCTCCACAATCACCTGACCAAATACAGGAAAATTTTTTTAAATTAAATTCTATGGATCCATAGAATTTAAATAAAAAAGTTTTTGTCGAATTTGGTCAAGTGGTTATGGAGATATCTTCGCTCAAATTTTTTTTAAAAAAATTGGATTAGTTATTTCGATTGGCGGTTTGATTTTTTTCTAACTTTGAGCGAAGGTATCTCCACAACCACTTGACCAAACATGGGGAAAATTTTTTAATTGAATTCTATGGATCCATAGAATTTAAATAAAAAAGTTTTTGTCGAATTTGGTCAAGTGGTTGTGGAGATATCTTCGCTCAAATTTTTTTTAAAAAACTTTAGTTATTTTGATAGGCGTTTTGATTTTTCACTAATTTTAAGCGAAGATATCTTCATAACTACCTGCCCAAGCCCAATAAAAGGTTTTTTATTTGAATTCTATGAATCCATAGAATTCAAATAAAAAAATTTTTGTCAGGTAGTTGTGGAAATATTTTTGGTCAAATTTTTTAAAAAAGCTGGCGCAGCATCGATTTTGATAAGAGGTTTAACTTTGAGCGAAGATATCTCCACAACCACCTAACAAAATACAAAGAAAATTTTTTTAATTGAATTCTATAGATTCATAAAATTTAAATAAAAAGTTTTTATGAATTTGATTAAGTGGTTATGGAGATACCTTTGCTTAAATTTTTTTAAAAAAATTGAGATAGTTGTTTTGATAGATATTTTAAATTTTCACTAATTTTAAGTGAAGATATTTCCATAACCAGTGTTGGCAATTTTACTGGCCAAAAAATGGCCAATCATATGTTTTTTGGCCAAATTGGCTAATTTTTTGGCTGAAAAGGCTAACAAATTTGGTTTGGCCAGTAAAATTGCCAACCCTGTTCATAACCACCTAACCAAGCCCAATAAAAGATTTTTTATTTAAGTTCTATGAATTCATAGAACTCAAATAAAAAAATTTTTTCAAATTTGGTCAGGTTGTTATGGAAATATCTTCGTTCAAATTTTTTAATCTTTTATTTTGATAGGCAGTTTGATTTTTCTCTAACTTTGGGCAAAGATATTTCCGCAACTATCAGATAAAGTTCAATAAAATTTTTTTTATTTGGATTCTATGAATACATAGAATTCGAATAAAAAAAAATTTATCAAATTTGATCAGGTGGTTGTGGAGATATCTTGGCTCAATTTTTTAAAATAAATTGGCAGAGCTTCTATTTTGATAGGCGTTTGATTCTTCACTACTTTGAGCGAAAATATTTCTACAACTACCTGACCAAACTCGAAAAAAAAAATTTATTTAAATTTTATGAATCTATAGAATTCAAATAAAAAAAAATTTTTTTAAATTTGTTAAGGTAGTTACCAAGATATTTTGATTTAAAGATTTGAAAATTTTTATTTTTTTAATTGCTTGTTAGGTCATAGTTCCGGAAGCTATTCTGGATTACACGAAAGTAATCGACTCATCTGGAGTGATTACGTCGGCATGCAATCGCCAAAAATAGTGATCACGTGACTTTTTTGCAATTTAATTGGCTGAAAGGCCAGAGATATTTAAGTTATATATCTCTGGCCAGAGATATTTAGAAGAACTCTATTATTTTATATAAAAAAAAAATAATTCTCTAATTTTTAACCCTAATCTTAAAAATAATTAGAGGTGGTGGTGATAGGTGATGATTACCACTGGTTATTTTAAGTATATTTCTTTTATTTTAATCTATTATTTGAGCAAATAATTCGAATTAGTCAATCAACTAAATATACATTTTTAACTTTTTATTAGAATTATAGAATCCATAACCAAAAAAGATTATAATAATATACAAAAATATAAGTTCAAATTTTGGTCTAATTTAAGCTATTAATCAAAATAATATTTCTAGGTATTATTTTGAGCTTATGCAATATAATTTACTAGCTAATTAACCAATTTTCTATGAACTTTTATTCTATATATTACAGTATATAACATAGCAGGCATTACTTGATTTGATGATCGACACGATATGTTACACATTATGTTTTACATATTAGCGTAATGTTTTGCAGTTACAAAAATGGTTTGGTGGCCACGGATACGAATTGGTGAAGCTTGATACCAAAAAAAATTGAAAGAATATCTTCAGATCTATAAACTGTCAAAGTAATTTGGTAATTTACGAAATAATTCGGAAGTTAGATGAGAGATATGTTTGAACGTTTAAGTTTGTAAAAGCTTATATTTTGTAATCTCAACTAATAAAAAAACCTGACTACATATTATATAGGCTAATAATATGAAGTTGAGAGTCATAAGACTAATAGATTTCATGAAAAGAGTTAAAAAAAGTACTGTAGTAGTACTATAACCCTGCAACCTTTTAGCATATTAATAGAATTAATTGGTTTGATATTAGAGCGAGTACTGTATTAAAAGTTATTTTTGTTTATTTTTTTTTTTATTAGTTATCAATATTATAGAATAGGATTAACCGTTTACTTTTTGTATTTTTTATTTTTGTTGTTTTTTTCTTTGATTTATAGTACATTAGAGTTTTTTAATAAAATTTTGGTATTAGAGTTCTATCCGATTTTGACTAGTTTTGTTTGTAATTCTAGATTTAAATTAATATGATTTTATAGTAAAGACTTCTGCTAGTATTAACTAAATCATGAATATAATTATTTTTTACATATGTATTATTCATAATTTGATATTTTTACTAATTTTCGATTAACCAATAAAATCTTTATAATATCATGGGATGATCTACAAAATTTGACCAATCACTATGAAAGCCCGCTATGTTACAGTAGCAAAACATTCATTTTTGATACACCTGCATCTTCATAGGCCGACATTCATCTGATTGGCTAATTGATTCAATTGCCCGGGTAACTAATTTATGTGCTTTAAAGTACTT